TTTATTAACCATGGGACTGGAAATTCTCAGTCTAAACATCAATAACACATTACTAATGAACTTTACAAGCAATGTAAATATTAATGAACTAATAGTTGCTGCACTCCCATGAGACAGATAAATGTTATTTCTATTTTACAAAGAGGTTCTAAGGGTTACTGAAGGCTACAAAACATGTCATGGCTCGTGAAAATACATCTCTCTTTACAGTGAATTGTCATAATGCTTTTACTATGATGTACAAAGAATATTTTAAGACATATGCTAATTTTAACAATTTGGGAGTGTCGTTGTCTTTTATGCTCCCAAGATTAATTGGCAAAAGAATTAAACTAAGCATTAAAACAATCAGATCTTGCCAGCAAGGTTGCTGAAATTCATACAAGTCATGACTCGGGGAATGCGTTGGGACTGTCCCACATAGTACCACTTCCAAAGCGACAGTGCTGGGACAGGCTGCTGTGGGTGGCCCTTCTTATACTGTGATGAAAGCACTGCTCCCTTTCTCAGTCCCTGCCCCCAGACTCTATGGCTGCTCAGCCCTAGCAGATGATGATTGGTAGTGCACTGTGCCAAGTGTGCTGTCAGGGTGAGGAAGAGATTTTGGGGTGAAAAAGCTGAAAATATTTTCTATGAATTTGGGATTGCAATTTTTCAATTAAATTACCCTGAAAACCAAATGGACTTGATTCTTTAAAAGCCAAAAGCTTAGGGCTGCTAAAACCAAAAAGGAGCAAAAACTCTTCAGTTTCCTAAATCCCTACAGGATGACGTTTTTGCCGTATGCTGCCATAGCTACTCCATTGTCAAAACAAATGGAAGATCTTCACTTTTTCACCAGAAATTCCTCAAGAGCAATTTGGCCTGCTAAAACAAAGCCATGCTTTTGTGCAATGGCCTGGGGTATGCTGGGTTTTGCCTGTTGGTGTACACATATAACCTAGCACTAGGCCATACATAGCACAACATACATGCTTACCATGAGGATGCACTTGCTTCACTTTTAGCAGGCTCTCTGCAGAGGCTTTCTCTGGGTTTGGATATCAGCCCTGAACTGCGTGTGGCTGCTGCACGCTTTAGAAAACCTTTGCACAGATGGGGTGTCTGCCTCTACAGTATTCTCAGTGCGGAGGAAATAAACAGCAGGCTTGCCAGGGCAACATTTTGTCAGGCTAACAGGTAATGACTGGTGGAAATGACAGGTCAAATCATGTACATCTGCAATCTGCTGTTATCTGAAGTACTAGCATTTGCCTGAACAGAGCACACAGACTGAACTACGAAATTATTTCTTTTTTTTTTTTTTGATTTTTGTTTTTTTAAAGTGAAATGTATACCAAGGCAGTTGCAGTAGCACAGACTGAAGCACTGGAACAGGCTCAGTGTGAACAGGGAAGAGGCACCATGTCACAAAATTCAGAGCACATGTGCTGATTTGGGCAGTGCTAAGGGGCAGCCCCACTGCCTCCATGTAGCCATGAAATCTCCAGACCCAGGAGCACAGTCTCTCTTTTTTCATCACAGAGTAACAAACCACCTCTTTCTCATTTAGCTTCTTTATTCTGCTCTTCACCAGGGAAAGAAACTCCTGGTGCCTGCAATAATGAACTGCAGCCACAGTCCTGGAATCTTTTGTTAGATTCATATCAGACTTAAGACAAAAACCCAGTGAATCTTCATAAAAACCATGAAGAGGAATTAGGGAGAAGAAGGTTAGAGAATATCAGGTTATTGTTGAAAACTACAGCATACACAAGGGAAGGAAAAGGGCTGATGTTAACAGAAACCAATGTCGTATATCCAGTTTGATTGCAGATACTAGTCATGTAGATTGCAGATACTAGTCATGTAGTTATAAGTGGAATCCTGTTTAAGCATGTGTTAGGATTTCAGAAAGAAAGGGTTTTAAGAGCCTAAATTGTCTTGGGATTCTGCAAGGCCTGTAGGTGTCTTCAAGGACCAAAACCTACAGCTTTGGGTATTGGTATATTTAGATATTAAGTCTAAGATCAGGGTTTGGTAATACACTTTGAAGAGACTGGGTTGTTTGATCCTTCAAGACAGACAGATAGCAAGAGAGGTACCAATTCCATTGGGACAAGCATTTTCTGTTCAATTCTTCTTTAGGAAATTATTCTTTGGATATAAAGAAAGCTGGGTTTTGGAAATTTAATTAGGGAAAAGAAGCTTACTACACTTCAGTGGATTCTTCAGAGTTAACTGAAGGATGCAGAGTTTGTTCTAACATGGGTCAGCGCTTTGTGTTCAGTTTTGCTACAGGCACTGGTCATAGGCTATAGCATGAGGCTTAGCTTTAGTTAGATAAAAACTTTTTAAAAGATCAGATTTTTGCTGGGTCCTGTGTAATCACAGGGGTAGTTCCAGGGCTGATGTTGTTAGGGATTCAAAGCATTATAGTTGGGATGCCCTGTTGACACCAGGTTCTTGTCTGTAATCAAAGTGAAGGTTTAGGTTAGGTTATTTTTATTGCCTGGAAAAGTAGAATCATAGAATCACTGAGTAGTTTGGGTTGGAAGGGACCTCTAAAGGTCATCTAGTCCACCCCCCTGCAATGAGCAGAGACATCTTCAACTAGATCAGGTTGCTCAGAGCCCCGTCCACCCTGGCCTAGATTGTTTCCTGGGTTGGGGCATCTACCACCTCTCTGGGCAACCTGTGCCAGTGTTTCACCACCTTCATTGTAAAAAAGATTTCTTCCTTATATCTAGTAAGTAAGGCCAAAAAGACACAGACTATTTTTTTTTTTTATTTTGTGTGATATGCAAAACGTGGAAGAAAACGGCTGCTTTTAAGAGGCCAGTGTTCTGTGTTCATTTTAGATCTGCACACTGGTTGCCTGGATGCAGCAAAGCCCAGGATTGGGATTAGGGGTAGAATGTTGGCAAAGGCAGCTTCCGGAGTCTGGGTTATGGCAGGATAAGGAAAAGAACACATTTATTTAGTTATGTCTCAGTTATTGCTCTTGCATGTATACCTTAGGTCCAGGGTTAGAACTGGTGCTTGAGAGTCTTAAAGCACCCAGCAATCCAAGTATTCATCAGATTTAAGATAAACTGCTTTTACTCACACATCATCCACAAAACATGGATATGGCATTTGCTGCAGATAAATTCCTAATGGCACTTCAGTGTTGGTCTGGGTCTTTATAATCCCATGCTCAATCATGTCTTGGAGATACGCAAAGCCTCCCCAGATATAACGTAAATCATCCACAGGATCAGCTCTTGGGCCAGGATCCCAGTACCTCAAAAGAAAATTCACATGGAAATCATTTGGGTAAACAGTGGCTTTAGGGGAGAGGCAGGAGGGAAATAAATAAATAAAAATCTAAGCTACTGAAACTGTAGGGACACTGCCCGGAGTTGCCTTTTCTAGATATCGGTCTGTCAGACCGCATTGCTTGAGAAAGTATATGACCTGGAAGGTTCTTTTGTTTCCTTTAATTTTCTCTACACTGACACAGAATAGCAATTTTGGCCAAACGTATATAAATAAACTATGTAGCAGAGTAACTGTTCTAGAACACAAATAACTGTATTTGGAATGCAGTATTCTTGGAGATTAAACTGTAACAGCTGCATTGCAACTACCAGACACCATTGTATTCCTCTATGTAGACAATCCTGAGAAATTATTTCTGTGAGCCCTTTAAGCGAGTCCATTTGAGGGGGACTTGAGGAGGAACAGCAGAGAAGTTCTGCTGTCCAGGTGGAGCACAGCTGGGTCAAAATCCATGCAGGACTTCCTTGTCTGCCTCTTCCAGCGATGGAGCGAACTAAAAACTTAAGGAGGTTACTGAATAGATTTTGAGCAGAGTCGTTCCCTTTGCCATGTATCCATGCACCTACCCACTACTTGGGCTGTCACAAGAGTGATACCACTTGTGTCAGTACCTGGTAACTGGAGGTGGATTCTGCACTGCATTACATACTAACCATTGGTGAATACAGTTGGATTTCATGCATGTATCCAATGCAGGTTCTAATGCCCTTATGTCTCTCATATTCGTGTTATGGCAGGCAAGAACTGAGAAGGAACCATCACTTACCTGTCTTTGATTTTGTTTGTTTTCTCCACTGCATCTATGTCCATCCGGATCTTGTATTTCACAAGCGCTGGAAGACTGCTGGCTGTAGGCTCTATGTCTGGAAAAACCACACCAGCCCAGAATTTGTTTTCCTCCAGTAGATGAAGGGCTTGGTGAGTCAGTTGAGTTTCGTCAAGATAACCTTCAAATTTATCCAAGGTCAAGCACTACAAATAATCACAAAGAGAAAAATTGCATGGGAATAAACTAGAAAGAGGTATACATTAAAGCAAACATCAGTGGCTGAAAACAGAAAAGAGATGCAGGTTCATCTGAAGTAGTTGCTATTTTCAGCTTTAAAAGCTTATGCTGAAACTATTAAAAGTTTGACACTCTCCTCCTTCCTCAAAGCTTTTCCATTCTTAGTCTAATTCTTATGACAAATTCAAAACACACATTATCAATACAAGCTCAGAAACATCACTCTCCCTAAAAAAAACCCTGTAAACCTCAGATTTGGCATTGCTGTAGTCAACGTGAGTGGATGGAATAATTTTGAAAGCAGTTTATTCCTGATTTTTAAGGATTGCCTCCTCCAAGCTCAAGAAATGTCCATCCTGACAAGTAGGAAATCAAGCAAGGGTGGCCACTAAAGCAAGAACTGCTGTTGCAATTTAAGTATGACAGGGAAAATTTAGATATACCTATACAAAATGTATAGCCAGAACTAGGTTCAGCCAAAGCCTATGGTGCCATGTTTACTAATTAGATAGAATGAAATATTTTTTTAAAATATATTTAAGCCACTGTAATCATCCAGCCATGGAAAGGTGAACTCTGCCACTTGGACTATATTTGGAAGGTTCCTTCAAAAAGGCAGATGTCTGAATTGGAAGGGCTAAAGCTACAGCACTGATGAAGTCCCAGTATTAGGAACTGTCTTCAGAGCCTGCATCCAGGAGATAAAATTAACTCAGCTATAAAATAAGTCTGGCCATGAAAGCTTTTTAGCAGTCCAGTTGAATCAAAACACTATCCTTTTTTTTTTCAAGTTTTGGGATTTATTTTTTTTTTTCAGCCCAGGAAATGCTTGGCCAGGGAGCTAAAGGATGACTGATCTGTAAGAAAATCACATTAGCAATAGACTTCATCTGAAAAGCACTTTGTCAAGTGAAGCGCTGGCAGAGTCAGAACATAAATTTGAATCTTAAAGTCTCTTAGGTATTTAGGCATTTATTCCTATTTAATGCCAGTCAACTAGTCAATTGATCTTACTGATAATATTGTGTCCCTACATTCTGACATGTGGTTAATCTGCTGTCTTAAGTTAACATGCTTTGGCTATCTCAATAATAAAATGTAGTTTACCCTTCACAGCAAACTGTCTTCTTCTTAATGTCTGTCATTATTGTGAAAAGTATTATTATGGCTCCATATAGACATCAAGTCATCAAAATCTAAGCTCTTCATGTCCCCCCCTTTAACTAATGGTAGAGTTTGCAGTGTTCACAATCTTTTTGTCTTACAATGCCAGTTAAGTAAGAGTTAAAAGGGAACTGGCAAGATATTTACTGAATTATCTTACTTCATACAATTCCAGGAGGCTAACTTGTTTCATCTTATCTTGTTGATCATCTCTTGCAGGTCAATAACCAAAAATTATTCCACATCAAAGTGCTCATACGTGCAACTTGTTATGTAATGGGCAGATATCTTAAAGACTCCTTTATTTAAACTGTCCCAGTGATAAATCATACTGTGTTTCCTTTGAAACATTAAGTATCATGGTTTAATGGGTTCTATATGAAAATATATTTTTAACTGGCAGCAAAACAAAACAGTGCTTAAATTGATAACTTTATTATTTTGTAGCTTTACTTTTCCTGGTGTTTTGCAAATGTTCATTCTCCTAGTTTGCTTTACAAAATTAAACCACATAGAATTTCATATCAGAAGGCAAAATAAGGCAGAAAAGCTTTCTGGTTTGTATTCCAGAAATGAAATCAAATTAGACTGGTGGCTCAGGTTGTATTGATATTTTGAGGATACGTTTACCCCACATAGTTAACTGAGCTCTGGAACTCAGTTTAGTTCTTGCCAAAGTGCTAGTGTTTCCACAGTGTAGTCTTGCTGTGTAACTGTGTCTTTGCAGTGTCTGGAGGATTACTTGCTCTTTCTTTGTTACGAGAAATTATTTTCAAGGTACTTGTTGCAGCTGCAGAAGTCATCAAGTTTTCCAGGGAAATCTGTGGGAACAGCACTGGCAAAGTACTGACAGACAACTGATTGTGTCGACATTTCCAATGCAGAATAGATGGTGTCTGGACTAGGCTAAGGAGCAGTATAGGCTCTTATCCAGGGGTCCAGTCAAGGAAGCAGCAAGTGTTCAAAACAGAAACACAAGTGCTCAGAGATCTTCTGAGTGAGTAGAATGAGGCCAAAGCTTGTATAAAAACATAGGGTAAGAAACCAGTGGTGCAATAATTCACATCATTTGAAAGCGAAAAGAGATTTTACATTGTAATCTACTGGCCAAAAGCAAGAATTTCTTTCTCTAAACATAAATTGCATTCAAAACAAAGACTGTATGGTCTACCTAGGCTTTTTTCCGTGAATTGCAACACAGCTTGTGCTTTCATAAACCTCATTATATCAAAATTCTTTCATCAACCACTGGGGGAAATTAATTTCAGATGTTCTCCCAGTAATTATTTAACAATTTCAAATGGTCCAATGAAGATGGCAAAACCAAAACTAAAATAATAAGAACAGGTTTGGAAGATAAAACCAGAAAATAATAAGCATAAAGAGGTGATTAGGTAGCATTCGCAAACAGTTTAGCTGTTCTGTGGCCTAAGGTAATCAAAGAAAAGAATAGGAAATTCTTGGGGTGGCAAGGATGAGCAGCCACTGTATAATTTGTGGGACTCTCAGCTGCACTGGAGCTTGCAGCAGAGATCTGGAGTCCCCAAAGACAGTTGCTGGCAGCACACCTCTCCTCATTGCATACTATGGTGGGGAGTAGAGTGTACCTGAAAGGGAGCTATTTGTTCTCATTGTGCTTGGCACAGTGTGAAAACATTCTCAAATGCTAACAACTCAGTGTAAACAGCAGACTTAAAAGAATAAGCTCATTACAAAGAACTTTTCGGACACAAAGATCTATTACCAGGTACAGTAACTGCCCAAATATTGTGGATGTTCCAACACTGACCTGCTGCAAGCAATATATTTCGCTCAGCTTGAGTAAGAAATAATTCTGCTAACATGATGCAAAAAGATCATCAGAAGAATCAGCAGAGCTTTGTGCAAAAGCTTTATTGTTCCCTCTTGTAATAGCTATAGGAAGGCAGATAAACTCTCAGTTCCTGCCCTCTTGCAGGGGATGAATGGTCTTTGAGATTGAACTGGATTGGAATGAGGAGAGCTAAGCTTGCTCCTGTGCCTACAACTAGTATCAATTTTCTCTGTGAGCTTGAGGCTTAGCTTATTTAACCATTAAATAATAACTAAATATTTACTTTTTTTCAGTGATGTTTGTAAGATGTAATTCACCTCTGTAAAGACCCTGACCCTCAGATGGTAGATGCTAAGTGTAGAGTTCCCAAGTATTAATATTACTGCCAACACTAACATTTTTTTAAAATCTCAGAGTTAACCTGCAACATTGTAGGGTCCACCAGTTTTGCCTGGGCTCATAAGTTTACAAAGAGTTGGCGTTTCATTTATCTAACTTAAGAGGAATCCATCTCATCTCAGGGCGAGTTCCTGAGATGGGTTGTGGGAGACCTCAGCTGGTCCGAGGGATCAAAATACAAGTTTAACACTGACCCTGAACGGATACCCGTGTAACCTTGAAGAGACAGGAGAATCCTGAGAAGATCCGAACAAACAAGATAAGGGGTGGCAAACATCTTGGCGTTTCCCAGAGCATGAACAGCGCGTGATCAACAATTGTATTGGCTGCATGGCGTGTGATGCGAGAGCGGATTGGGCAAGAGTAGAATGTTAGAATATATGCACAGATAAGCAACCAGCTAAGAGGATATGAAAGAGCACTGCTTGTAAAATAAAGGGACGATTGCTGTAACTGGATATTCAGTGTCCTGTCCGTCTCTACAACGACATCAGGTTAAAAAAAAAACCTCCCCAAAACGCCTAGTGTCACCCAGCTCTGGGAAGGAAAATGGATGCAGCAGTTTGCCTAGCCCTCTAAAATAATATAAAATTTTTTGCACTGGACTTAGTCTGAGTCTGATCAACTCATCAGTAAGTTAGATTGCCCATACCAGAGTAACATCTTGCTAAAAGAATCTTCCAAAGTATTTTTAGAATGGCTTGATATTTTCATCTATGTGTTTAGCATTTTTTATTTACATAATGAAACTGCACCTCAATTCCTGCACTGCGGCTCTCAAGAAGCCTCAGAGAGCCCCACTAAAAACACAGCACCCTAGAGAAGGGGGTAACAGATTCCAGGAAAGTGACACTGACACCTTGTCAGAAGTGGCTATGGAACAAGTGGAAACTCTGCCATTAGTTTCAATGGAATTTTGATCAAGTGCTTAAAAATCTGAAGGGGGACTTACCAAAGAACTATTAGCTTCTCTGGTCCTGGTCTTTCTGAAATTAGTGTCCTGTCAGTTATTAATACTTACAAAAAAAACGTTTCCTTGAGGTTTTACATTCACTTTCTGTCTCTCAGCATCAAAGTGTGTTCAGACATTCAAACAACATTTTGAATATAGCATTTGGGGATCATCAAATTAAAGGTTTTTTCTTCTTCTTCTTCTTCATAATAATAATGATAATAATAAGTATTTATGTTCTTGTACTGTGCTATGATTTTAAAAACACACTTTTAATATTGAGATTAATTTTGAAACAAAGGAAGATGTCTTATGATTTTAACTTTCTTGTCTGTTCCCACAGACCCCAGTTACTGCCTACCCTACTTTAAGATACTCTCTACAAGTATCCCCAACAGTGGAAAGGCTGACCTTACCTCCAGATACTGACTGAGCAAACGCAGAGCTTGGTCTGCAGCACTGAAGATATTCCGCCAGTCAAAGTCTGCCATTCCCTTCTCCCTGCTCCCTGGAGACCCATTGTGGAGAAAGTTGATGATGTCTTCAGCGGTTAAGCCTTCAGCACCCAGCTGGCTGTTCAAGAAGTCCCTCACTGTAGGGTGCTTCAGAGAATCCTGAGGAAACACATCAGGACAGCTTCACTACAATGATCCTCTTCACATGCCCTGTTTACCATGAAATGTTTCCATTTCCATAGCTCTTTCTGAGCTATGAAGTAGTACAAAAGAGTATGCTAAGGAATTAATTTTATAGAAGGCCAAGTGCATAGCTGAACTGAAGGTGAGACTTGAAGAACAGATGAAAAAAAATTTATCCTTGACTAATTATTGCATTTTTTCCTTATAAGCAAGAGGATAAGTGTAATACATGTCTAATATAATAGAGAAAAAGTGTGGAAAAACAAATGTTTTCTCTGCTATCTACTGCTTAGAAACTTTAACTACAGATATTACTTGCAGTTGATCGAAGTCAGATCTAAGGGATGTGGAAATAAACAGTTTCCTAAGGTAGTAAATTGCTGGACCCAAGAAAAACAATGGTCATGCTGCCTTCTTTGCCTATGCAGAACCCAAGAAAATCAAGTTGTCTGCTCTTGAAGGACATTTTGGAGAGACAGGGAAGCAGTGATTGCTGCCTTTATTAAGAAGTCATTAGCCAGATTCTAGGGACTGTCCAGATCTGAGGTTTTGTCACACAGATGCTGTAACGGATTTAAGACTAGCCTTCAAACCAAGCCCAGTAACCAGTCCAACAGCCTTAAAGGCCACAGATTCCTTGCTGCAAAGGCTGTGCTTCCAGCCATACCTTTCAAATTAATTCTCTTCTCCCTTAGTAAGAATAAAGGGCAGTCAAAGGCTGCTCTAACTGAGGATCCCTGCTAAGTTATAACATACACGGATCATATTCATTTGCAGGCTGTTTTGAAAGAAGTGCCACAGCTGAGGTCCTACTTCTTCCCAAGCTTTGGTCAACAGTCTGAGGCGTTCAAGTTCCTCAAAAGTGGAGTTTGCCTGAGGAATGAAATGGCAGAAAAGAATGTTAGAGAGCTCAGGAGATAAACAGAATTTATGTTCCAGCCATTCAGTGACAGCAAAACCTGTAATTTACAAATCTAGTTTTTAACCTTCAATACTTAATAAACTTGTTAAAATATCAGAAATGTTAATAATCCTCAGAAAAATATTTTGTAAAATCCAACTAGAATCAAAGTCAATTAGGATAAATTTCTGTTGTATGTGTAATGGAAAAAACTAGTTCTTATCAACCCCAGTTAACTTCAATTGCTTTAAATACTCAGGATTTAGGCAGAATGATTACTTCCCTTCTTTTTCCCCTTGACTATTTCTCTCCATTAAGAACTAAAAAGAAAGATGATGATGTGGGTAGACAAATAAATGGGAGGTGGTTGGAGAAGACAGGTACTCTCATAGTTAAGATATTTGTTGAGATTTGAAATGTTGGGCTGCTGTAAATCTGATGTTTGCCAGTGTGAACTACAAGCAGCAGTTCTTCTGTGCCCTACATGGATGTTGAGAGTAAGTGAATTCCTGGTTATGAGGTGGTGAAAACCTAGATCATATGTGACCTTGATTTAACTGTTTAGATTCATTCCACCCAACTTCAGGCACTTAGCTGAAGAGTCCAGGCTCCACCCTATTTTCATGAAGTGAAACTTATTTATCATTTCAACATATATAATACTAAACTATAATGTTGCTATTGGTTTGTAATCTCTCAGTGTTAGGTCTCAGTGAGTCTATCCAAGCCTCACAGCTGCCCCATTTAAATATTTACAGGCACAGAGCTGCTGATCTTCCTACATCTGTAAAATATATAAAAACATTACTATTTTTACTAGTGTAGACATGGAATCATGCCAACAAAAGGCTACTTGAGCTGGAAAAAGCATGTAGTGTAGACCAAGATGGGATGAATCAGTGAAGATCTGTCTCCTGTTTTTTAAACAAACAGTAACTGTCCTTCCTCTGATGACCATCACAACTAACGGAGTTCTGAGAAAAAAATCTGATTAAGTTTTTCAAAAGATGTTTCTTAGAATGCAATTTTTTTAGAAATATTCATTTTTGTATTTCAGAACTTCTTACATTTTTTAGGATTTGCCGTACAGAAGGTGAATCAGGAGTAAAGAGAATTTTTCCCATCAGCAGGGGCTTCACAGCACTCCAGGCTATTTTGGTCAAAGGGTTTGATTCCAAGTTCTGGATCAGTGCATTACAAAAGGGTGCTAAAGACAGAAAGAAAGACAGTCTTTATGAAAGCCTACTTAAATCCTATCATACATAACATCCTGCAGGGCTTTTTAACAGCAATATGGACAGTTTAAAGCATTGTGAATCTGAATGTGTTAAGCACATTCTGTAGAAGTACAATGCCTGAATAAATGCAAAAGACTACTAAGTAAATATTGGAGTTGCTGTTATTTATAAGGTATTTCAAATGGAAGGAAACTAGATCTCACTGAATAATTTTGAGCTCTAATTGTTTTTTTTCCTAATGACTTAGCTCCTTTGTATTGTAGTTGATAGTGATACAAAGCTATTTTTTTCTCCTATTAGTGGTTAATTCTGAGACAGTATAAACTATTGGACTGGAGATCCAGCAGACTTGAATGCTGAACTCCAAAACAGTTCAGAACTGGATCCTGCAATAATTTGGAACTAAATATTTTAATGTAAACATTTCTATCTTGCTCCCGCACTACAAAGTAATTAGTTTACTTGGATAGCATTCAGCTATTTTGTTCCCTGGCTGAAGAAATGGAGTACTGAGCCTTTTACAGGTCTTTTGAAGGTTCATACATAAGTACAGCCAAGCGTCAACAGGAACAGTGAAAGTTAGGAGTCTCTCTACAGGGAAAGTCCTCACTTGTACTTTGTAACTATACAACCGTTATCTATGACAGCAGAAGGGACACAGAAATGTACTAGCAGCTATAATATGGCTGTTCGTACAGAAAAAATTTCTGGTGGTCTCAATGTAGAGAAGAATTAAACAGCAAACAGAAGAGGACATAATAAAAAGACAAAACAACGGATGGTGGAAAAGAAAATTGGTTCCTATTTGCATTCTCTCCTATTACAATAGCAAGAAATAAGTGAGAAAATTAAAGCAAGGAAAACTGGTAAATTGAAATACTTTCTATGTAAGACTTAATTATGCTGTAGAGTATTACTGCTAAAAAATACATGTACTTTTATGCAGGAAGAGAACAGCCCCATCTATCAAATTGAGTACTATTTAAAAGGAGAGATTTTAAAATTCCTGTGCTCCAGGCAATCAATCAAGTTGAGAGACTAAAAAAAATTTTCTTGGAGAAAGTAATTCCAGAACACGGCACTGTATTTTCCTGAAACTTCAGAGGCATCTAATTCTTCCTGATGTCAGTATCATATATTAGAAGATAAGACAGAGGGACTGTCTTAATTATGATGATGATGGTGTTTATGCCTTCATATTGAAAGCAAATGCGTACTTCTGTCAGTTCTCAATTCCTGGGCTTCTTGGCTTCCAGCTATGAAGAAAGTAGGAAGTAAAACCATTTCACCTGTCTCCAGTTTCCTGAATAAATTGCTTAAAAACATTATTTTAGAAAAGCGACAGTGGTATTCTGACATAAGTGCACCTGTCTACAGTCTCTGTAATGGTTTGGTGGAAAAACTTACTGGTTGTATTATCATAAAGATAAGTGGATTTCTTTGTTGAGTCAATCCCCAGGAAAGCTTTATAGTTATTATCTTCATACCAGTTGAAGGAAAACACTCTGGATCCACCTCCTTCTGGGTAGCCACAGAAAAGATCAGACAGGGAGCTCACCAAGTGGCCTAAAGATTCCGGCATTCCATCTTGTACAAATGGCTGCAGAACCATCAAAAGGTCCTGAACACTTGACTTCCTGGCTAGCTGCAGTAAGACAAGACTTTGTTAATTGCAACCTTCAAAGGAGGTAGGTATGTGGTGAGGTCTCAGTTGTGCCCAGGCTGGTAAATTCTGGATGCAGTCAGAACCTCATCCTTTTATCTCCTCTGTCCTGGTAACAGGCACCATTTTCAGTTCTTGTTCTCTCATGTCTTTTCTGAGGAAAAGAATACGCTTCATAATTGCCAATGCTCATATCTACATTCATTTTGTAATGAGAGAAGAATGAATTTTTAAGGAATCATCTCTTCCCAAACAAGTCTATTTTCTTTCTGATAAAGCAGGTAACTGGAACATAAATAGAACAAAGGAAAGGGAGGACTATGCGCTACCCAGAAAAGTGATGCCATCTATTATTAGACCACTTACCTTTTGCACGGCCTGGGAAACATTAGACAGCACCCTACCCCAGGCCTTAAGGTCAGCCCCTGGTGAGTTTCTGTCCAACACAGTGGGAAGCTGTGAATACATCAGAAATACAGATGAATTTTGTATAGTTTCTACATGACAACAGCTATCACAGTGAGAGAAGAAAGTCCAAATGGCATCTCTTTAACTCAAATGCTTCGAGTTATTTGCAACAGTGAGTCTTGTAAGCCTGTCTTGTACAACCACAAATCCAGTACCTGCGTGCAGACTCACACAGCAACCTATGTAAGTGCTGTTATAACATGAGGCTCAAACAGTCACAGGCCACTGAAAATATAACTTTGGATTTGTTCTGCTTCCCTAAGCCCACCGTGCCAAAAGGTGCAAAAATGGAGGAGGAATGCAGGAACTGGGATTTCTGAGAAGCTGCTTCTCACAAAGACTATTCTTCCAGCGAGATGTACAGGCTCTTAGTAACTTCTGAATTTAGCAAAAGTTGTGAAACAGAAGCCCCTTTTGCCATGGAGGTAAATAACTGGTACTACTTCGCACGTGAGAGATTTCCTGATTTTGGAGACAGTCTAGTCCTCGCTATCTGTCAGATTTGACAGAAACCATTACTTCTCCAGGCTCCTACAGACTGGCCAAATGCCCTTTGCAGAGAAGTTAACACTATAATTACCACTGGCTTCTTAAGGAACAGGTGATACCATGGCATGCTGTCACATACCACTTTGCTTGCACCACTGCATCCTTCTAAGTCAGCTGTTTAAAGAATCACATGTGCTCTTGCGGTTAGCTCTCTTGAGGCTTTCTCGAGCATCTATTTCTTCTAGTATTACAATAAAATATAAAGCCGGACTTTTAGCTAGCTAGACTGTAATATTTATGAGATAAGCCCCTAAAAAGACTTCCTCAAAACCGTGCAGCTACACACCCTGCTGATTCTCTGCCATTCCTTTCAGTCAGTGGGTGGTTAAGAAAGCAGAAGACAGCTGCACTATGTAGGTACCTGGCAGGGAATCATGAAGGCAAGACTTTTTATGGAAAGCTTATGTTAGCGTGTTCTGATCTGTCACTTGCAGTTCAGGCAGGACGTATACACACACAATACTTCAAAATACACTTTTCCCTTGTCCCCTAAGGGGAATCAGTCTCTGCAAAGACTATACAGGATTCTTGGAGCACCTGCCTTAACCTGGCCTTTTTGAAACTGTGAGCAGCAGGTACTATAAACATTCTGAAGCAAGCCAGAGAAAAGCCTAGGATAAATGTGGAATTAAGAACCACCTTCTTGTATCTAGAGGAAACGAAAAGAGAAATAGAGGCAAAATTACATGTGTTTGCTCCTAAATATTATTTCTTGCAGGAGTCATTCAGTATGAATCAGGTCTTAATAGAAATGTTCTAAAATGACTGATTTTGTAATCAACTAGTTCATGTTCTCTAGAAGCATGCATAAGACAGGATCAGCAGACATTATGCAAACTACACTCTCATCTGACCTAAATATCAGACCGTACAGTTGGGAATGTTTATTGACCCTAAGCAAAGAGAAGGATGAAAGCTTCCCCAAAATATTTATCCACCTATTTTCATATTCAGTGGAAGTGAATGTGGTGTCATAAAAAAAAGGAAGAGCATAAACATTGACACGTTTCTTTACAACAATACAAGGCCCATTTCTGGAATTCAAACTCAGCTGCCCATACTAAAATAAGCCCTACTCAAACAAGGAGCTCTGCAAAAACAAATTCTGATATGTGATTGGTTATACCATACAACTGCAGCCTGAAGATCATGAAGGACAGAGTGACTGACAGTGTAAGAGTGCAGAAAATACCATGGGTCTTGAATACACAGGTATTTCTCATGTAGAAGTTTTAAAACTAATGTAGAATTTTAAAAAGTCCAACGCAGATTCATTCTACATATGTAACTGAGTGTAGATTTACACTCAGTTTGATTACATATCATGTGCATGTGGTGATACTGATCAAAGCAGCTGTTTCACCAACACATGTCTATGCTTAGTGAAGAACTGCTTATCTCCAGCCAAAATTGCAATAAGGTATTAAGGAATTTTATGTCAATTTATTTATAAGGTTTAAAGAACTTCAAACAAAGCTTAAGCAGACAGGTTCAAGAATAGCAGTGCTCCAGAAAGAGACTGAGCCAGACAGACAGTAAAGGGTGGATCTTAGTTTTCTGTCTCTGCTTTGCTGACAAAAATGTGAGTTGCTTTAATTTCTGGCAAGAACCCCTAGAGGGTATACATGAGCACATGAAGGATTTGAGTGTACATTTATGCACATACCTAAATATGCTGATCACAAATTCAACAAGAAACATTAATTTCAAAGTGGTGGAGAAGCACGTTGTAAAAATAACTGTGGCAAGGAGTGCCCATGCACAGTCTACCATTTAGTTTAGCAGGAATAACTGAGATGGATTTTGATTTAAAAGGGGAACTTCCGCCTTGCAAAAACCCAGAAATATATTTAGATTATTGTTTAGCACCTATAATGATGGGAGCATTAGAAAGCTATGAATTTGAGGTCTCATTATGCTAGGCATCATGAAAAGACAATCCCCCTTCTCCGCAGCTAGGTGCACATTAAAACCCACTGGGAATCAGGCTATGGATACCTTTCCAACACACAATACTTCCAGTACTCAGGGGAAGTTCTGGCAGACAGATCTTGTAGTAACACATCAGATCGTAAGCCTGTATTCGAACCCCCAGTCTTTCACAACTCCAGATTTTGGTTTCAGGTTTATGTTCCTATTTTCCATATGAGTCTATTTTTGTTTAAACACAGACAACTGCTTCACCAACTCTCATCTTTCCATTTTATTTGACATGGCAGCCAAATCATGATATGTTAGCAGCCTAATTTTAAAGCTGGGCAGTGCAGTGTGCATATTCACATGAAGTTCTTAAATGCTGAAAACCTATCTTAGAAGTACTGTTGCATTAATTCTGTGCTACTTCCAGCAAACATCAGATATATGAAAATATATGAGTATATTTTTAGACATGGAAAATAGAAGCTTTCAAAAGATTCTTATCAGAATTGGCAAAATCACATGGGCACAATGAATGACTGTCAATGCTACAATAATCAAACAGCAATTTGTCTCGTGTGTCAATTAAAGCTTCTAGCATCCTCTGTTCCCAGTTATAAGCAAATCAGAGCTGAATAAAATCCATGTTAAATTAACCATGACGTTACACTGCTGTGGCAGAAAGTCCAGTCAATACTTTCTATGTAACTGTAGCAGCTGCTCATATATCCTGCCTGTTGTATACAGCAAACTGCCAACATGATGGTCTCATGACATTAGGTACATTACAAGGTAAACCCCAGCAAATTAAACTTATTGTTGAAAAATGCAAAGTTATGATCATGGGGAAAACAAACACAGAAGATGTATATGCAGTGATGGGCTCTAAGTTTGCTAACATGAGGAAGACGACCTTGGGAGTCTTTATGAAAATTTCTCTGAAATCTTCAGCTCAATGTGCAGAATACAAATGGAGTATTAGAAAAATATTAGGAAAGGAACAGAGAGCAACAGCAAAAAAACCCAAACCAGTATGCCATTATATATATAAATAAACATATATTAATATTATTACTTTAAAATATATAATAAAATATAAATAATAACAATTAAATATAAATATATATAATGGTATAATATCTCCCTACAGAATCAAGGTTGCAGTTCTGGTTAATTTATGGCAAGAAGGTCACAGTAGAAACAGGAACAGCACAAAGAAGGACAATGAAAATGAACAGGTAAGGAAAAGCTTCTATAGAAAGAGTGATGTAAGCCAGTACAACTTGTTAGTTTGGTGGTGTTTTTTTTTAAAAAAAAGGTTCATATGGCTATCCCAACTCAAGCTGCATCATTGCTTTGACTTCAGTGTAAAATTCTGTTGTGCTGGATGGAACAAAGACAGGATGGGTTGTATGGGGAATTTTCAGAACCCTCAGCAAGGTCCCCATAGGTCTTGCCACACATTGTTTTGCTACGCAGACTAGAAAGACCGGTATCCTGGTTCCGGCAGGGATGGGGTTAATCTCCCCCGGAGCCGGCAGGGGGCAGGTATTCCATACCACGTGACCCATGCCCGAGCTATAAGAAGAGCTAGCCGGGGCGAGGAGTTGCCACTCGGGGGTGGGCTGCGGCGGTGCGGGTTCGGTCGGTGCGCTTCGCGGCGGTACTGTAATCGCGTTTTTGTCTTTTCCTTTTGCTGTTCTGTTAAATTGCACTCTTTTAACCCACGAGTTTGGCCCTGTCATATTTTTTTTTTTCCACGACTGTGGGAGTTGTGCGAGCGGCTGTGTGGTTCTTTGTTGCTGGCTGAGGCCAAACCACGACAACCGGATAATAATTTGACACACACTCTGATTTTAAAATTGCATTTGAATCTTTTAGTTCTGTAAATTTAATCTGTTTCATCCCAAAGCATTCTCAGAACAGTTTTGTGTTCTGCTCATGGTAGGTTAACAATCACACATCCATAACCTTACATTTACAGGGGTAAATAAACAAAGACTACTTGGAACACTGGTGATGTATTACAAAGAAAATTTTTGAAAGGCAATGAAATATCAGCCAAAAAATGACAACATAAAACAGGATGATTGTGTTAATACTTACCAGCTGAAATAGCTTAAAGAAATCGACATTTGCATACAAGGCATCTTCTACTCTCTGTAGGCTTTCCTGGGACAAGGCACACATGGCCTTGTGCACAGAAGGGAGACCTCTTCGGCTACTGAAGATAATAAAGCGGTCCAGGAGCATCTGACTGCAAGCAATGTCCTTCAGAGTCAAATTAGGGACACCGTAGGCAAACTGCAACCAAAAAAAACATTTCATTTACTGTTGTGGAACCTCCATACTGCTCAGGAACAATTAAAGATTTATCAAAAGTGGACACCTTGGTATCAGCCCCTGCTAAAATTTTCATGAATGGCAGAAGGATGTGATCAGCTGAAGCATCAACTCTTGATCCACCTTCACTTGATGTTATGTTAGATCACCTTGCCTTCAGTCATGTTTGTCCTCTTCTCATTAGTGATTCTTCCTTTCATTGCAAAAGTTCTTGCAAGTCTTCTTCCTTTCTCTCTGTCATCTAAGCACACCTGATGCCATGCCAATCCATCCCTGTAGTTAAGGACAGATAGCTATGGCTTGCCTGAAGGTATTTCCCCAGGACCAACTGATTGTGCCACATCACTCTACCTTTTGTGTTTAGGCTAGTTATATTTTTGCTGCCAGTTGCTCTAAGAGAAAAAAGGCCAGTTCCACTGGTTCTCAAGCCTGATTTCCCTCAGTATTTTATTTCAGTTATGATGATTCCACCCCAATGCTTCCCCACAGCCATTATTCATTGTCACTGTGCACAGGCATACAGCCAGGCCAGGCTTTACAAAGCCATTTCATATTAAACCACACCTATCTACTGATTATCACTTCCAATATAAACATGGAACAGAAAAAAAAATAAAAATATCACCTTTAGTGTTCATCCACTGGGAACAGATTAGTTTATAGTTAACCCACATAAATGCAGAATAACTCCATAGAAATCAGTAGATTTACCTGGTACTTACACTGTTGTAGTGGAATACTCGTGGTAGTCTATGATTCAGTTCTACTTGCTTTTATAATGAACAGAATACATGGCAATATCATAAGAATTATCACTGGAAATTGATCATAAGCTAATGTTCCCATCCTCTGACCATCTCCTTTCACAGTACAACTTGTAAGGGGAAAAAAAGCTCACAATACTGTCATGACTGTAAATGCCCACTATGTTTGAGATGAGCAGACTTTCAGACAAACAAGAACTATGTGCTGACACAGTATCATTAGGCTATATGAATTTAATAAAGTGCATAGAAAAAGAAATCATCAAAACCTGCACAGAATATAACTTGCTTTAGAAAAATAATCTGCTGAGCATTTCAGTCTTTAAGACACTTGGATCAAAACAAACACAGCACACCTATACCAGGTCGGACATAGATGCACATTTATTTCCTGTCTAAGCAAATTAACAAGGCCACCTAAAAGATTCTGAACATTATCTAAATTTTGTATCCACAAATCTATAGTTAGCAGCTGAGACTTGTTTGGTGGTGCCGGTAAAAAGAAATATCTAAAAACCCAGAGGAATGAGAAAAAATTTAATTCAGTTGCTTTGGAGAGCGGATTCAAGCTTGAGGACATATTCATTAAGTGCTTCACATATCAGAAGCTACGAACAAAACTGCAAATGTGGTTGTGGAAAGTCAGCATCCAGAAAAGGAAAGGCAGGGGAAGAGAGATCCACCATGACTGCCCCGAGTTTCAACTTATGGAGCTGCAGTTGACAAAAAAAAAGCACCTGAATTATGCACAGATTGTGTATTGTAATAACGATACAAAAAAGGGATGTGACTTTCTAGTAAAAGTACCTGAGAGGTACTGTCACTATCATTGCTACCGCTGTACCCATATAAAGGCATTTTTAACACAAGTTGGACAGTGTGGAGAGCGGCAGGATGCAAAAGCAGAAATGCAACTGACAGATACAGTCTGGCTTGCAAAAAAACTCTAAACCAAAACACCTCTGCCCTCCCTCAAACTGGAACATTTGATTTGGATATAACTGACGATGTCAGTGAAAGAATTTGCTTACTTGCTCAGTCACTTATGTCCTGGGGACGTGTGTGAAAAGAACACCATTTTTTAACCATATATACCTGATCTGACATGGTCCTCATCATAGAATACCAGGTTGGAAGGGACCTCGAGGATCATCTGGTCCAGCCTTTCTTGGCAAAAGCATGGTCTAGACCACATGGCCCAGCAGCCCACTATCATCCAGTGTAAACTGCAATGAAACTGACCTGCACAGGGAGGCAGCCTGGGAACTTTGTTTTGACTTGTGAAATGAGGAAACTGTGACAGTAACATCATTGAGAAGGATTAAACACAGAAAAAAAAAAAAAAAAAAAAGGTTATTTACAAACTGTAACTGCATTTCAAGAATGTTCATGAACAGACGGGATTAGAAAAACATCAAAACCTCCGCCCTTCCAATTTTTCCGGTAGGGTGGGCTGTTGCCAATCTTTCCTGAACTTCTTATTGTGTTCTAACATGAGTCTCTTATCCTTATCTTAGAATGACTCAAAAAAGCAGGTCCTCAGAGGAAAACTTCAATACATTTTTATTTTTTTTTTAAATCAATGTGTCACTGTTTGGTCAAAGCTGGCAAGATGAAGTTCAAATTATTTTTTCAGCTACTTGGCTGTTTGATCACGTTTAGCTTTCAGCTCTGTGTGTCATTTCCTGCACTCCCAGGCGGCTCAGACCTAGATCTGTAGCCAGCTGTTGGCAACAGTCAGGCTCTTGTAAGCAAGTTGCTTTCAGGCTGATCAGCCCAGTGTCATCAGAGCCAGGGGGAGAGGGTGTACAGTGATAAGCAAGCACAAAGAGGGTAGAGCGGCATGAAGAACTAGAGATGAACTACTACGGTTGAGGCTTAAGACAACCACAGATCTGGGTTGCATGGCTCTGCAACTTCTACCTCAACCAACCCTAAGTCCAAGTAACTTGCTTATCAGGAAGGTCTATAGGAATTAAGCTATTTAGCTCCTATAGGAGATCAAGTGTTCAATTCCTATTGAAAATAATTCTCTTGTGGTCTTTGGAAAATTATGAGGTTAGTTTTTCTGCATCAGTTGCTCTTAGAGGAAGTATTCACAGCACTTTCTTTCCTCATAGCTGTGAATCAGTTCTTGTGAGGTGATTTTGTATCCCTGTGATTACTGCTAACAAGAAAACTTTATGGAGGACAGCAAAAAGTGGTATTTAACACCAGGTCTCCTCCAGCTTCTTCTCTAACAGATGTTCAGGTTTCTTTAATTTCCAGCATAAAGAGAGCTACATCTCTTTCTACATCAGTACAAAAAATACAGCAGAAAGCCACCACGTTCCAGCAGGTTTTAATCATACTTTCAGTGATGGTGTTGAAAACTTCAGTCCTGCATACACTGGCAGGCAGAGTTTTTAACAGTAGATAAATGAATGCCACTGGGGAGCTAATAGAGACACAGCAGCACACGCTTCTCCTGGAGCAGCAGATCTCGGAAAAGAAGAGGTTAGGGACGAAAAGATGAAGAGAAGCCCAGCAGGATATCTGTATATGTTCTTCTTGTCATGAGCAGCAAGGAAGCAAATTTTCACCATCTCAGCTGATACGGAGGTGTGAAAATAAGTAGGATGTATCAATTGACACTGGCTTTGGTATGTTCTTGTGGTATTGCTTCATGACAAAGTGAGGAGAGGGGAAGACTTCCCCTGGCACTAATCAAGAATACAAGAGATAAGTAATCTGGCTGCTCGTTATGCCAGCTGGAATCTGTGGTGCACAAAAGGAACTGCGTGCAAGTTTATTAATGCCCTCCCTCTTTCTGGCCACTCACAGTTCCAGCACTTGTGTTTTATGTGGCAGTGAAAAAGAGGAATTGTGTCTTTTAGCCTCAATTATTCACTTGCTTCCACCCACACACTAAAGCACTGTAGAAATTGTTCCAGAATTCTGATTCAGCAACATTCATTCATTAACACAGCATTCCTTGCAGAGCTTCCAGCCACCAGTACACACAGAGGCAGAGGCAGCCTGGACTTGGTCAAACACAGTCCCCTGCTTAGTTGCTTCAGGAGGGATTTGACCTGCAGTTTTCACTCCGTATTTTCTAAGTAGATCTATTATTCAATCAGAATCTAAGAAAGTGGGTCTGCTTCTCCACTTCCACCTATTCATGTGAGATAATGCCATAAAGCCACCATATTACTCTGCTGACATTGGGGCAGAGAATTTAAATGTTAAATTAAGAACCTCCAATAGTTCTCTGCTGCTATCCATCAGGACTGCTGTCTCAAAAGGATGTCCAGCTGCCTTATGCTTTTGAGTGAAATCTTTCATCATGGGGAGAGATGCATTATTGGCAGTATCATTTCTTGATGCTTATTATTTAGGAGCAGCAACAGCCTCAAACCAAATATCTACATTTAATGCATATTCAAAACGTTCTTTTAAAGACAAACCAAGCATCTCTTTCTCTAGATTCACAAAAAACCCAAAGGGAGATGTTGTACAACCAACCTATAAGGCAGCAGATTTTCTGGAAACAAGGCCCTCACTGAGGGTACTTTGCATATACAACTCAAGAGATTGCATTCCACACAGATAACAGCTTATATTGTTACACTCTGTTTTGTTATACCCACCTGTTCAGGGCGCACTTGAGCATTAATAAGCTGGAAAACAACAATATCTGGGAGACCAGCATCTTCCAGCAAGAAGGAAGTGAGGGTCTCCCCATCTTTCAAAATGTCTAGAATTCGTATTCCTCTTCCTGGATGAAGAAAGGAGTGCACAGATCAGTGAGATACCAAACAAAAGTTAAAGAACTCACATCCTGGCCTAAACCTGTAAAAAGTATGTGCTTTGGCTCATATAGTTAGCAGTGGCTAATGGGGTCCAAAACTATTTTTGAAATTCAAAACCATTTTAATCCTTTGCTGGGGAGTGATCATGAGAAAATGCTGAGTGTTCTGACTCTGCATATCTCATCTCTCAAAGATGTTTCAGACTAGAACATCAGCAATGGAAGTACTAAAAGCATCCCTGATTGCATTTGAAAGTCTCTGCCTTCTTGCTGAGGTAATGCTTTATTTTAAATGTTCAGATTCCAGTGTGCTACTGTTGTTAGTGTCCTTTCTTCTGGGCCTTGTGTAAATAACTTTAGCCAACCCATTAAATTTACACTAATTTATCACTTGCTGCTGATTAATCTTAGCTAGTTAATCCTATTCTATAGTACTGCAAAAATGACCCCTTGAAAATCTTTCATGAGAAAAAAAACTTACATTCCTTGGACAAGCATAAATTGTTTGTATTTTAATAGTCATATTAACAACTATTAAACTAAAAACTGGCAAGTCTTCAGGCAAACCAATGAGGCTACCCACTGTTAAACTAAACACACGTAAGAGGCCACCAAATTTCCCTAATCCTATCTATAACAATATTCAGAATACTGCTGCTGTGAAAGTCAAACAGTGCCATTTTTTTTTTTTAACTTGTTTCTATTACAAATCAGTATCAGGGTGAATTCTGCCTCAGTATGGGCCAAGTGAAAGCTTGGAAAGTGACTGTTCCTCGTGTCCATTGAATACTACAGCCTTTATTAAAGGTAGGTCACATAGCACCAACAGACTTCCGTAAAGAATGCTTGAAAAGTACTAGTTCTTCCAGTCGTTAGAACAGGCAATTGAAACTGACAGGAGCAGCATGTGTCATACCGACATGGGGAATGTAGCTTTAGACATCTCCATATAAACATGTACAAATTTGCTGCTGAGTGTCTCCATTCTGTGAGTTAAATGGCGTCTTATCAGAGCTTGGCAAGTAACTTCCACAATTCCATCTGCAATAAGCATATTCTGTCCTAGGGCTGCAGGACCTGGGCAGAACTCCTCCAATCACTCCTCCATGTATTTATTCAAGCAGTAAACACTGAAAACAATAGTAGGGGCCTGTCCCTCATATTCTCACCAATGCCTTTCCTGGCACCCAAGTGTTGTGGAGGAAAAAAGCACACTAGGAACACATCTCATCAAATGTTTCAGTGCAAGGGGAAAACAGGACAAGGAAGGATGACTGCTTTAAAGAAGTGGGAGAAGGAGCAATCTCAATTCTGACATTTGTTAATTTTTCATTACTCAACTTTGCAGCTATAACTGTCAAGATTTTTACTTACAGGCAAAAGTAGTAAGCTACACACAGAGAGAACGTAAATAGTCAATTCTGCAGTACCTTTTTCTGTATGGAAAAGGGCATCAGTTCACATTTTATTAGTTTAGCTCCAGAACTGACTTTGTTACTTTAAGAAAAAGATTATTGGAATCTCCTGGTTTGTTTTTTTTTCCTCAGCAAAACACATTAAAACCCTCAAAAGATTCTGAAAGAGCGTTAACATTACATTTCACAGGAGTGGGGAGGAATGCACTCTATTTTCCAACTGCTGAGTTAAGTTGAAACGGGATGCAAAGCAATTTCCCAAACCGCAGGGTGTGGTCCCTTAGCAATATGTTGCAAACCCATGGCATGTCATGCTTTTCCTCACCTCTAAATAGGCGGGTTTGGTTTCTATAACTGTGTAAAAACCACAGCTCCGATTATACTCAAGTTCTCGTTGTTTGCATTCTGAGGCATTTTGATTGTCTCACTGTTTTTCACAGAATCACAGAATGACAGGGGTTGGAAGGGACCTCTGGAGTTCATCTAGTCCAATCCCCCTGCCAGAGCACGTTCACCTAGAGCAGGTTGCACAAGATGGTGTCCAGGTGGGTTTTGAATGTCTCCAGAGTGAGATGTTCCACTACCTCTCTGGGCAGCCTGTTCCAGTGCCCTGCCCCCGTCAAAGTAAAGAAGTCCCTCCTCATGTTTAGATAGAACTTCCTATGTTCAAGTTTGTGCCCATTACCTCTTGTCCTATCACTGCGCACCACTGAAAAAAGACTGGTTCCATCTTCCTGGCACCCTCCCTTTAAGTATTTATAGGTATTGATAAGATACCCTGTTAGTCTTCTCTTCTCCAGACTAAAGAGACCCAAGTCCCTCAGCTTTTCCTCATAAGAAAGATGTTCCAGTCCTGTAATCAACTTTGTAGCCCTTTGATGGACCCTCTCCTGTTCCCTGTCCTTGAACTGGGGAGCCCAGAACTGGACAGAGTACTCCAGATGTGGCCTCACCAGGGTAGAGTAGAGAGGGTGGATAACCTCCCTTGACCTGCTGGCCACGCTTTTCTTGATGCACCCCACCCCTGGATGCCATTGGCCTTCTTGGCCACAAGGGCACATTGCTGGCTCATGGTCATCCTGCTGTCCACCAGGACTCCCAGGTCCCTTTCCACGGAGCTGCTCTCCAGCAGGTCAGCCCCTAACCTGCACCGAGGTTATTCCTCCCCAGGTACAGTGCCCTACTCTTGCCTTTGTTGAATTTCATAAGATTTCCCTCTGTCCAACTCTCCAGTCTGTCCAGGTCACACTGAATGGTGGCACAGCCTTTTGGGTGTGTCAGCCACCCCTCCAGGAGGGTCATTGGCTTTCCTCCTGTCCTCAAGCACCTCGCCTGTTCTCCAGGACCTTTCAAAGATGATGAAGAGTGGCTCAGCAATGACTTCCGCCAGCTGCCTCAGCACTCCTGGATGCATCCCATCAGGACCAATGGACTTGTGGATATGCAGTTTACTTAACTGATCTCTAACTTGATCCTCATCAACCAAGAGAAAGTCTTCCTTCCTCCAGACTTTCTCTGTTACTTGCAAAGTCTGGGACTCCTGAGGACAGTGAGATAGTCCCTTTTGTACTTCTAGTTAGAAATCTCTGGTAAGATAGTAGAGCATATGTATCAGATGATTTATACACATCTTATTAAAAATATGTGGAGTATGAATATTTGATTTTAATAAGAATATTATTCCTGTGGCAAAGGACTTGAGAATGGGACAGATTAATTCTCAAAGCCAGTCCATTTTTGTGCCGTTAGTTTTAGGAGTATCTTTTCAAATTCTGTACTTAAAGCCCAAATATTAAATTAAAAATTTATTATTAGTCCATTTCCTATTTTTCCCCAGGATTGTGTTTTGAGTTTGGCAGGTTTTTTTGAGTAAAAATTAATGGAGTCATATAATTTGCAATCCTGTTTATAAGTGTGCAATGCCTTTTCTCTTTAAACCTATCATCAAAACAAGAAGAAAAATGTATCCATATTCACTGTTCCAAAACTATTTCAGCTAACACTTGAAACAACATATCTCTGTGCTCTTCTCTAGGTGATGCTCCTATGTATTCATATGTAGCTTTCCATTCTTCTGCATATTCCGGTGATGCTTTCTTATTGCTTCTCACTCTACTGTAGTAATAATTAATGAAATCTTTTCATCTACGTGTTTTACTTTGGGTGGTGACATATCCACGTTTCTGTGTTTTAAGTTTTGCCTACTGTTATTTAAGAAAGATGGTTGTAGAATGGAACCGATTGCCTCTTCCCTTTCTTTCAAATAAAAGATGTTACAACACTGGACAAGTATTGACTTACCCTCTTTTAACAGTAAGCAGAGTAACAGCCACATGTGAAATACATTATAATGTTGCCAGTCTGCAGAGTAACTACTCGTCAGCTCTCAGTAGGAAAATTCAATAGTCTAGAGGATATAGATAAAACAATTACCTGCAATTCTTTCAGGATTAGTTCTCATTGTTTCCATAAACTGAGTCATAATGTTCAGTTCTTCCCAGATTCTGCCAAGGTCACGGATTTCAGGGGCTTCCAGTAAGAGCTCCTGTGCATCTTTATATACCCTCGCGAGGCTGAAAGAAGAAATAGTGAACCAACAATAATTTAAAACTGATGACGCTTGAGAACCTTTCACATAAAAAAAGCAAAGTTGACTTTCTCTGTGTAACGGATTAGGGGAAAAAAAATTATTTTGTCCTCTGTCTTGAAACTCAAACCTCATTTTTTTTGGTGACAACAGAGTAGTTTCAGTTGGCGTGGGATTCAGATTTGGAAGTCCACAGAAGCTTTAAGAGGGCTACTGGTGTAGGTTGGCCTCATATTTTCTTCATTAGCCATTCTGAACCTGCTGGGGAGACAGGACCTTCCCCAGGCAGCATTCACCTCACAGCTATAGTGCAAATCTTCTCTGGTACTGGCCCAGGCTCAGCTCCAGCAGTTGGATGAGGCACTCTGGGCACATGCAGCCCTGCTCAGCCAGGTTGGTGACATGGAATCACTCAGACACAGAATCCTCCTCCCTCTCCCAGCTCAGTCCCCTCCAACGTAAGGGTGGCGTTTAGGTCCCTTCAAAATGTTTCTTCTAGGACAGGCAGGAAAACAGGAGTGACAAATTGCCACAGGCAGCTGTTCACCAACAGGTTCTGGGTTAGAACATGCAGTTCAAGCAAGGATGCAATCAGGTCCTGTGCTTATAAACAAGCACAAAAAAATTTGTATTAGCAGCAGGGGAGGCCATTACACTTCTTTAACAGTGTTATGTTTTTCCATACATGGAATGGTATATCTCAGTCTTTATGACTTATTTTAGCTTACAGGAAACAGCAAACAGGAAGGACTAAATTCTTTCAGAAAACACAATGTATTTGCTTCCTCTGTGATGCACTGAATTTACTCAGACTCACAAAGGGACAGTTTGCTCTGTAATAAGCAACTTAAAAATGCCAGAACGTATAGAAAACAGAACCCTCTAGCTTCACTGTGTGATTGACTGTACCCCACAAAAAAGCCCAGCTGACTATTTTAAATCCTGTTCACCAGGAGCAAAAGGTCAAATGCTAAGTTAACGCCAAGCTATGGACTTTCACAGAGTGGAGCTTTGATGGCCTTGACATTGTTAGCTCATGAATTTTAATCATTAGATGCTCCAAAGTGGACTATTTGCAAAAGGAGATTTGGAACATTTTTTTATAGCTATTCTAACAGGTTTTTACTCTAAGAGCCTTTGTCTACTATGCTGTCTTTCATGACTCAGCTATAACAAACAATGCAATGAAGCATTCCCTCAGCTCTATTTAACTAACAGTCTGGAAATTGCCCATCCTCCTATTTCATTAATAAGTTTAGGATCTGAAGATTACTATGCTGATTAAAGTCTCACAAGTCTACAGCCAAAACAGGTGCTACCTAGGAAATGGCAGTACAGATTTTCCTTTGCAGCTACTTTGTCAGAGCTCTCATTCAGAGGGGACAACTCAAATGATGAGAAAAGAAAGCTTAGGGGTTTCATACTGTCGTATAAAAAAATGTGTCCCGAGACATTCAGTAAGCAGTAGGCAATAGAAAGGATGGATTTTATTAAGTGAACATGTGTTCCCTGGAGACTAGTACAACCAAACTCTTGAGAAAGGCCCAAACCTACCATCACGAACTCTGTTTCAGCTTTGCTGACCACTGTTGCAATGAAACTGATGTGCTAGAACTGAAAATTTTTGTCATCCAGTATTTACACCCTGGTGTCTTCTTAAACACTCACCTTTCCCTTTTCATTCACATCACAGAACAATTCTTTAAAATATCTCTCAGTGCACTGTGGGACCTTTCTAAACAGGCTGAGGATACTCCATCCTTTCTCCCTACATCATTCATGCCCATGAATGCTCAACAGGTGCCAGGAGAAGGCTATCAGCAGTTGCCTAGCAGGCCTGTATTACTGCAACGCAGTCTCACGCATGTAGCTCTGCTTACATGGAATTGTTATAGTTGGACACAACACCTGGACTCTCTCCATGGGTTGGGCTGTGGAAACAGGGGTTGTTCATGTTACAGAAGATGCCATGTAACCATGGCAGTGTTCCTGCAGATGGCATTGCCTTGTTTGGGAAGTGACCTAGAGTATGGAAACAAAATATAAATGATTAGCTGTCTTTTCTAATGCAGCCTGTGTGAATCTAAAAAGCATGACGGGTTGCGTCACTACAGAAGGAATGCGATGGAAATTCTTTTACTAAGAAAAAAAAAAAGTCACTAATATAAACAATATGGCTATTTCCCACCGAAATAAATTCTGAGCTAACTTTTTTTTTTAAATAAGTAGAGAGGCAGTACTTTCTCAGTAACAAAAATACAGAAATCTACAACTTGATAGAATCTTGAGACCTTGTGTAAGTCCAACCACAAAGCATCTCATAGGAAAACTACAGCTTTTTTATTTTTTCTCCTCATTAGTAATTCTTACAGTATATGGCTGTAAGTAACTAAACTAATGAAGAAGTCTGTTCTTTTGCCACTGGAGAATACTTCTCAGCAAACACGTCCCAGTATCTCTGTCTGAGAACTTCTAGCCATTATCTAGCACAAATCAGAGCATTAAAACATTTTAAACATTCTTACATTCATGTTGGCGATACAGTGGATTAGCTTTCCTCAGCCAGACAAGGGCAAGAAATAAAGAAAGAGGCCATATAAGCTCCACCAGAAAGCGAAGCTGAAAAAAAAAAAAAATCAAAATAAATTTTACAAATGAACCATGTATAGAGTCACTAAGTGACTAGAGGGCTGAGGCCCCTTCTCACAGCAACAATGCTCGGTGCAGCATGTGCAGCAAGGCTATCCCTTGCCTATTTCACCATTTGGAAGGGACATGCAGAAATAGCAAGGATTTCATCAAAGCCCTGTGAAGCATCACCATTAACTCAGTGACTTCTCCACCTCTTCTAAAGAAACATTTAAGCATCCTGACTGAGATAAAAAAGAGGCGATAGGTAGTACTTAACTGTCAGATAGACCAGATATAAGTCTAAATAGTTTTTATATAAAATGGATGACTCTATAACACCACAGGAAAAAAGGATTAGATGCAAGAGGGAAAAAGTGTGTTGGGTTGTTTTGTTTTTTTTTATCCGTGCTTTTGCAATGCTGGGCTCATTACCAGGCTGTCAGTGCACTGTGCTTACCCAAAGGTAAAAGACTTTAGCATAAGCTTACATTCTTTGATCTTTACTTTTGCTTCTTTTTGTCATCATTCATTCCAACATTATTAATTTTCTAATACAGGTAGAAATGTACGCATTAAGATCAAACACCTTATTCAATAACATAGAAGACTCCATCAAAGGCCACTTTATTGCCCAGAAGTTTCAATACACTTAGAACAGTCACCAGCTCCCAGCCATGACAGAAAATCAAGGGCACTGCTTTACCACAGAGCAACATCCTGCCTGGTTTTCAGTCTGTTCCTGCACTCCTGTGTTTCAGTTTGTTTTACTGCCTCTGTGTGTTTTGGCAGAGGTTTGAAACTACAACCCTTTGATCCTGTGACACAGGCTTTTGGGCTCTGAGGACCAGCTATGAGATTTTTGTGTCCAGTCACACTTTTTTTTTTCTCCTCCCTGCAAGAGCCAGGGCAAATTCTTTCCAGAACTGGGGTTGTAGCACATGCACAGGAAAGCCCTCCCTGCCCCCTTTTCCTTTGCTCCTGCCTCCCCGACCAGGCACCAAGTATGCAACAATAATGCACACAGCAACAGAGCCAGAGACAAGATGGGTCACGTGTGCATGTTTTTTTGCGAACTGCCAGCCAGGGCAAAAGATATTCCACAGCATAATTAAGAACAGGTTTTTGGAGCTGCCCTGTTTTTTTCCCTATAACTTTGTCTAATAGCTTTAGTTAAGCACAGCCTATACTTACAGCAAAAGACTAGAAATCTTTTCACCAGGCAACCATTTCCTATTTCACACTTCTACTCTTAAGGCTTTCTTTTTAAAAATAGAACAACAAACCCCCACCATCACCACCTAAGTTATGTATGCCTGATAGTTTTAAAGCGAGACAAAATCTTACCAGCAGCAAAGAGCAGATGACAATTATTAGAGAAGGAAACCTGCCATTGTACAGCTCTTCTCCTTGACAGCTGTTGTTCACAGCTCAGAATACAGTGCTACAGACTCTTTTCATCAGGGGTCCGCAAGGTCTGACTAACACTGTCACCCTCCATTTGATAAGATGTTTGAGACAAGTACTACACACACATAAACTCAGAGGGGTAAGAACTGTGGAGACTCCTCGGTTGTTATCTTTGCTGCAGAGTTAATCTGGGTTATTGCTCAGATGTCGATTCTTACTTCATTCCCAGGAAATAGAAAATCCTCAGATTTTAATTCAGTAATTCCTTTCTGTCTGAGCTAACTAGTTGGGAAGGGATTGAAAGCTAAAGCACAGGGGAAGCTCTCTTTCAAGCTGGCATACAATATGTTGTGTGACAAGGACCAAGTGCTGTTAGCCCTCTGATTCTTTTCCTGTGATCCTTTTCCTGAGGACACACAGGTGTCTCAGAACTCACTAGGAAGGATCAGAAAGCAGCCCATAAGCATGCAGAATCATGAGATAAACAGCCAGAAATCCCAGCAACATGCACAGAGAAATGTAATATCCAGACGGAGCTGTAATGGACCAAGCACAGTGATACAACCTATAAATCTGACAAATTTAAATTGGCTGCGGATCAACTGCTAACTCTGTAATGAAGTCTTTCCTCTTGTGATTAGATTACACTAAATGATGAACTTGAGTAGAAGATTGGATATGCTTCCATTTATGGTACTGCATGATGGTTAGCAAAAGTCAGGCTGACTTTCCCAAAACACATTTTACAGCTATTTTTGACATTATAGATTTTTGGTTTGGCTACGTTGTTTCTCTGTGTGGACAAATAAGCAAGTAGGTTTATATACTTAGAAAAGGCAATTATTTTTACTGACTTAGTTGTAAAATGTTTTCCTCTTCAGAGTGGAGAAAATGTTTCTCTGTTGTGGATTAAATTGCTGTGCTTACAAGCTAGAAGTGATCATCACAGAAGGGGGTCTCTGGCAACACCAGGAAACACTAAGTTAGTATTTTTGAAAATTCTATAGGAAAAAATAAACAAGAAAAAAAGAGAATTCCTGAAACCCAACCAGGCACTTTGAGTTACATACCTGAGCAGATTTGCCCAAATAAAACAGTATTTCATACACTGAAAATACTGAAGAATTGCATAAAGATCCATTTGCTAAAAATTAAAAAAAGTTACTTCCAATTCTTTCAGTATATACACTTGAAGATCAGAAAGACGTGGAATTTCTGTTTGCTTTTTTTTTTTTTTCCTGAACTTGAGAACCAAACTACTACAGCTCCTTGACAATCAGTAACTGAAGTCCAGCTTCAAAAGCGGTTCTTATATTTGGTGTAATGTAGCTCAAGTATGGATTGGTGGCTTTCATACTGCATTAAATCAGGAGCTGGCAATGTTGTATGCATCAAGTCTTGATGGCAATGTAGACTGTGGGAGAAAGCCTGCTGGGAAGCTATGAAAGAAAGGACATTCAATTTGCCTATGAAGAAAATCAGAAAATCCTTTGATCCCGAGAAATTCAGCATGTGAGTAATTCCTAATGACTAAAATCAGGTCAGCATAGGTAAGCATTTCAACTCATCCCATGGCTCAGTTTGATCCTGTTGATCTCCATTATCACAGCAAAATTGTTTGCGTGACTATTACAGCCTCACGGATGCCCTAATGTACTTTTTATTATTTTTAGTTTGAAACAGGTAGTCTAAAGGACCTCAAAAGGACTTCACGTGCCTGGAAACCAGGCAAAGGCCCTTCTTTTGCTGGACAGAAGTAGTTGCGGTACATCTGATTACCAAGACCCTAGTTTGAGGTTTGGTTTGACTCCAAGAAAATTCGGCTAAAAGATAAAAAAGAAAAAAAAAAAGAGCAATGATGAAATAAGGTGGAAAGTAATAAATAAATTTGCTCTAAGACAAAGTATCATAAGATCTAAGAGGATTTGAAAGGATTTAAAATACTTCTCTGATTTTCACTTGGCATTCAGCCATATTAAAATGATAAAATCTATGTGAACTTCAGGGCCCTAACTGGATTCACATTTAAAAGCAGCTGTGTGTGAGAAGCAAATCTAAAATTAGGAATCAAACCTCCCTGAGCTGAACAGTGCCCACGATATTTTCTAATAGGAGATCTTGTTACGTGAAAATACAAAAATATTACTACCCACACCTCTTCTCCTGATACACAATACTATTTGTCAAAGAACCCCCCAATACAAGTATTTTATGTTTACCCTGTAAAGAGCAGCTTTGCAAACTGCACCAGACAAGATCCCAGACAGCAGGCCCATACAAAGATCACATTTGATTCTTTGAGGAATGTGTAATTTTTACATGCTGTTAAGTGTACTGGTCACTTTGTCCAGTGGAGTGCACAGTCCAAAGCTGAAATCCAAAGACTAATACTTTACCTTTTGTCTTTTCCGGAGGATCCAGTTCTTCCAGAGTAGAAGTCTGACTTGCCTAAAGAAACTCATTCTTCTGCACCAACACTTCTGGTTAACCTGTACCGAAGGATGCATTGCCAATTCTCAGCTGACAGCTGAAAGAGACCTCAGAGCAAAATAACAGCTTTCTCCTCTTATTTTAAGATTATGTTATCATAGAGATCTGTTCCTTTCATTGTCTGCACCATTTAATTTTGCACTTGATACACTATCATACATGAAAAATCGCGAGTTTCCTTTGTTTGGAGGCTGTTTCCTGTGACATATTTATCAGCACCAAAAAGCAATAGAGAGAAAAAGCATCTCTTTCAAATGAAAAAAAGTCATTAACATTGAATCCAGCTATTACCTTGGACTTGCAAGTAATGAAAGCAGTTAATTGTTGTGTCATTTGTCAGATTAAATTTGTGCTTTCAAACTATTTTTTCCAAGAATTGATGGATTTACAACTGGACATTAGTTTACATAAAACTGTTTGGTTATTATGATAAAGGTACAATTAGGTTTTCCATTCAGACACTATAAATGTATATTGATTAACACAGCCTGGAATGGATTTTATAAAGGCAAATCCATTTTGTTGCCATTTTATTAGAAAATCGAGGATCACATTTTTATGCTTTTAAATTTGGCAACTCCCAATACATTTTAGTAGTGATACAAGCAAATTTAAACCATTGTAAACTGTTTTCTAGGTTCAGGACTCATTTTAATCACCATGAATTTTTATCTTCAGAAGGAAAAAAAATAACTTGATGTATAAATCTAAACACAGATACAGTGCCCTGCTAAAAAAATAGACAAACCATTTGATTTCGCTACCTGTATCCAATTCCTACTTTATAGCTACCTTATTTAAATGATTGAAAAGTAGTTTCTTTGTGAATGGTTAGTCACTGGAAGAGTGTGGAAAAGGAAATGGAAGTTAGATATTGGAAAGCACTTTCTAATGATAACAATGGTGAAGTAGTAGAACTGATTGCATGGGAGGATTGTGAGGCCTCCATTGGTGGAGGTTACTCAAACCACTATCAAGACTTACACAGGCAAAACTGCTCATGAATTAGATGATTTCTTGAGTCTGTCTTGCCACTATTCTTCTAGAATTTGGTTTCTGGAAAATCTTTAAGTGGAGAAGATTTTGTCTGATTTTAAGTGACGAGGTTTGGAAAAAATGTCAGAATATTTTGGCATAATTGCCAACAAAGCATTAATTAAAAATCAGTAATAATTATTTGACTGTTTCAGAAAATCATCTCAGGTCCACATTTTATGAACTGAAAAGGAATTTAGACCTCAACAAGGGAGGAGGTGGGCAGAGATCTAGCTTTACGCTGATGGGATCTGAAGCCTATTTCAACTCATTATGGAAGGAAACATTTCGGAAGTCTTGACATTGAGACCAAAGAGCTGAATACAAAGGAAGAAGAAATTCTGTATCAAATTGGCTAAATGCTAGTGCTTCCAGAGTTTACCATGGTGTATTTGTGCAAAAAGGTAGCCAGCCGTGTAATAGCAGAGGCCAATTTTACAAGCGTATCAGAACAGTGACATTTCTTTTTCACAGAGCTGACACTAGGAAACCAATCTAGATTGATTATTTGATTACTGAGTGTACTCAGGAGACGGAAAATGTTAAATTTAGACACTAATATTCAAAATTTTTCTCCTTCACTAATTGAAAAGAAACACATCTAGTTCTTATTCAGACATTTACCCAATGCAGGTGACTTCTGAGCAATTAGCTGTTGGAAGGGTTTAGAACCCAGGAATAAAATTGGCTGAGCATCATTAAGAAAAGACAATAGTTTTTGCAGTTCCACTAGTGGCAGCAGGTTCTGCAAGTAAACAGGCTGGTGGCTCATAAGAACATGCTCATGTGGAAAGCTGTATTTGGTTGCAGGGAGCTCCCAGCAGGCACCAACTTGCAGCTGCCATTCACGTGGCATGCCTGCCGTTCCTCAGGAGGTTCCAGCAAGGTCCTCGTCTCAGAATTGCCAACTCTGGCAGTCAGACGGCTTTCTGACACTCCTGAATAACCCAGGTCTCTCCAACCTGCTGTCATTCTGAAGAATGAATCCTGCAGCTGAACAAATGAGGAAGAGCCAGATTTGTTCCAGCTCCTCTCGCCTTCCTCTAAACCCCAGATGGACACTGCAATCTTTCTGCAACAGCTGTGAAAGGAAATTCAAGCCTTCATGTCAAGGCCATAAAATCTGTAGTCTGCCAATGGCCTGGCCTCACCTCTTCCTCTGGACTCTTTACTGAACCATGCATCACTAAGAGTTTCTATCTCCATGAGAGATTCCCTAGTAGTGCACTAGAGTCTTAGCTCATGTTTCTACATCTCTCCCTATGTATAACATACCTGCACCACCCTGTAACTTTCACTGCTATTAGCAAGAAAATTTGTAGTACAAGGCAAGAAATAGGATTAGGATTGCCAGATAAAACGGCTGTTAGCATTTGCTCTGGAAAATCTAGCTGTTTTTCTGAGACTAAAAATGTAAGTTGTAAAGAAGCCAGAAAAAATAAGCTGGGGGAAAAAAAGGACAGTAAGGTTATCCAGATTGTGCATACCATTTAACCTTTAAGGTTTTTTATATTAAATCTTGCTAGTTACATTTGTTGGTAGTGATGGGGAGGGATAGTCCTTATAAGAGGAGTAAGTCAATGACACACAATCCAATTAATATGCACAAAGTGCCGAAGGAATTGCTCTTTAAGAAAGCAACTACTAGACTGATTACTACGATTAAGATCCTGCTAAATGAGTTAGAATTTAAAAGTACTTTCCCTTTTGGCCTAAACCAAACTATTTAAGTTATTGCATTAATACATGAAGTGCAATCAACATATAAAACTTAGAGAGTCTCTTTTGTTCGTCAGACACACTTTAGAATCACCTCTAATTTTAGGATGAACAAGAATACATTTATATTTCTGCAGACTGCTTTGTTTATAAAACCTTCACTGGGAGCTAAAAGGCAAGAACCCTGCTTTCTGAAATGGAACAGCTTCACAGTGAGTATTAAAAGTATATTAACCTTATACTGCTTCGAAATCTGAATTAAACAGGTGAACATAAGACAAAAGTGTATGATAAAAAGCCCTTAAATAATGCAATCGGAAGACATTGGACAGGTTCTGTAGCAGCAGAGAATAAATAAGGAATAATTAATTTTCAATCCTTTCTTATCTAGGCATTACTTAGATTAACATAGAATTGTGTGGTTAAGATTCAAGCGCTACTAATTTAACTAGAGCAAAACACTATAATAAAATAATAGAGTTGGACCATGATAAAAACAGTACCTAGCAATAATGTGTTGAGAACTCCACTTGGACTCAGGAGGTACATGAACTTCTAGAGTGATTAGTCATGGTGTAGATTTATCTTCATTCTTTAAAGGCTCTGTGCTCTCCCGGCTCGCAAAATCAGTGGCGGCTTGAGACAGCTGCATTAGAAAGAGCACAGGCACTACAAGAAACTCAGTTTCCAAAAAAGCAAAGTTTATTAACATAGATATTAACCCCCTCCTAAAACCAGAAAAAGCCCCCCACACTTATGAATTGTTCATTCAGTTTTTCATTAAGAAGCTAATGCAAATTATGACTGTTACTATTTAGAATGGCATGTGCTTGCTGCCTGAAGACGACATGCTCAAGAACTGTGACTTCCTTCCATGGCATATGCAAAATCTGTGTTTTGTTAATTTTCCTTTTGCAGGAATTTATTTCCTTTCCACAAGGCTGATTGTAAGGACCAAAAATAAAAACTTGGTTTTATCACCAGCATACTATTGAAACATGGGAAGACTCTTACAAAGTCTCAACTCAAGAAAATAAAAAATAGCACTTTTTTTTTCTCTTTTTGTTTTTTCCCCTAGCAGTTTAACACAGAAGAATGATTTGCTGCATACATTCAGAAAGAAAACTCATATACATTGTTGACAGAAGACAAGAAAGTGAAATAAGTAATTGGTTACATCAGTCATTACCGCTAGTTTTAATGCACTATTTAATAAATCTAACAGCAGTAAGCAAAAGGTCCTCTTACCCTGCTTATACTATATCAATTACACCTTATTATAAAAAGCTATTGAGAATTTCTCTCAACTGTGTGTTTCTTTAGGCCATTGTATTCTGAATTTAATCATTACCTACACTATGTTCCTGTTTTCTCTGAGGAGCCTGAACTGCAGGGGTAATGACTTATCACAGCCTTCCTCATTACCATCAGGTTAAGAACAGTGGAACGTGTTCATTAATTCTCAGATTCTTTAATATTGTCATGACAATCAAGCGTCACCCTCGGTAACTTTATTAGCAGATTCTTTCAACTCTACCTCTGCTGATATGTCCTCACAGAAGTCAGAAGTCTTTCCCACTACTTCACAAACTTAGTTCATGGGATTTTCAATACTTTCTCTCTGCTCCACTTGCTTCATGAAGGTGACACAAGTGTTTTATTGTATTGCAGACAATGTTTTAGAGACTGAGTTTCTTCTAGGCTTTCTAGACAAATCAGAACTACAGTAACTGGAGAAAACAAATTTTTTTTACCCTATTCATTTTCACAAATGATTTTGACAAAATTCATGTCCTTGCTGTTGCTATGCTTCCCTTGTGAAAAGCCTGGGAAGTTTGTTCTTGTAACATCTGCATGTGCAGAAATATAGGTAGTTCAGTACATTTCTTCATGGACCATCACTCTCTAAGAACAGAGAAAGTGAAACAAAGACACAAAAGTAATTTCACAACACCACTGCACGAGGAAAAAAAAATAATTCTTCTCATCTGATCTTTGATTTTTTTGTAGAACTACTAAAATGTCAGCAAGCTGAAAGCTCACATAGAAATACACTAAGCTAAATACAACATGACCTTATATGTGTTCAGACTCAGACCTCCTGAGATGCATTCAGAGAGCTTTTCAACAAGCTCTGTCCTACCTCAAATAATATTTACTAAATCAAGTTACACATTAGTATTAAATGGCTCATTTCACATCTCCAACATAAATTACC